TAAATTTTTTATTTTTTATAATTTATAATTTGAGATTCAACCTACAAATCAAAGTTCAATACCACAACTAAAAGGAGAAATTACAAAACCAAAAAAGAAATCATAATTCAACAATACTAATACCAAAGCAAAGTTCACAAGCTATTTTAATGCCATTAAATAGGAGAAATTACAAAACAAAGTTTCATTCCAAAAGCAAGCTAATAAAAATTTGAAAACTTGAAACTTTAATTTTTTTTGGTTGAATAGAAACTTCAATTTTAACTTCCATCAACTTTATCATTTAAATAATACATTTTTCATTTTTGGTACATCACGTAAAGGATTTGCAATTTTAAGTAGATCAGAACTTTTTAATAAATTAAATGTATCTCCGCCAATGTCCCATAGTTTGATGTACCCATCCTGTACCCACAGAGTACCCAATTGCCAAAAAATGTATAAAAATGCACCCGGTACGTATTTCGAATACTCGGTATGCATATAGCACTATCGGTACGCATACCAGTACTCGATAAGTACTCGGTACGAGTAAGGCAACGTTTTTGGAGTACATGTGCTTCATAGTCCACTAGCATATAATTGTCTTAATATGGGCAAAGCTTGTATTACGTTCTCACTATCAAAGGGATTCTTCTCAATCTCGACAAAGAGCTTTTAATGCTGGAAAAAAAAATATGCATTAATGCGAAAGATGGTAAATTTTTTGGTATTTTTCAATTCATTAAAAAAAAGAAGGGAGAGTAAGAAGAAGAAAAAGTTAATTCAACCTATAAAATGATTTGGATCTTTTTACAGTTCTAGACAGAGTTTCACCTATAACATAAGGTGTAACAGGGCAGGAGCGATGTACTAAACAAAAGAACTTACTATTAACTTTTGGCCCACACATTTCTTGTATTATGATTCCTGATTGATTTGGCAAACACATTTCTTGTATTACAATTCTTGATTGAAACATAGTAAATGAGGGAATTTCAACAATTGAGGTGAGGTTGGAAAAGTAAAAGACCAAAAGTGACCTTTTATGTCATGACCCTAGCCCGCCCCAAACAGGAAGGCGTTGTGACCGGCCAGTAGTCGTAGACTACCAAAGTCCTAACTTTCAAAACTAATTGAACTCTTATAATAATTGGGGCAAATCTATTCCATTTACAAGCGTGGAAGCCATTATTTTCTTATATTGTAACCATTTAAGACATCAATTCAAAGCAGTGTATAACTATATGAAATGAAAGCATACATTTCCTTTGGATTATTATCTTGAATACTACATGGATGATACAATAAAAGTAGAGTACATTACATATGACAAACTTTACAAATCCAACACAAATATACAAGATTGTCTTCTAGCAACTTCCTTTCATAATCGAGTTCTTCGTCATCTATATATATATATAAGGGAGAGGGATGGGCCATTGCACAATGAATAATATTATAGTAAGTGGTAAGTGAATGAGTTCCAAACCATTTACAAAACATAGATATCATATCGCATTTCGAAAAGCATTCAAACATTTCTCATAAGAATATTTCATATTCAAAACCATTAGAACCTCTTAATAGAATAATTGGCTCGGGTACCAGTTAGACAACGCCACACCTTTAAGTGGTTGATGAGATCTCATAAAGGCCATGGTCCATGATGTCGCCCCCCATGACTTAGGACTATCTAAGGATGCATTGATAGATTCAATAAAATATAGAATATTCATTCATTCGGAAACAAAATAAGAATATCACAAAATCATTATATATCATCAATGTTTTCAAAAATAATTTTCAAACATAACTCTACGATAATATTACTCACAAATGGCTCCTTGAAGGAAGGGTTTACTCATCCGAGTGTTTGACCTACACAAAGCATAAGTAAGACATTGGAAACACTCAAACTAGCAAGCTTCTAAATTCACTTTAAGTATTCTAACTTAACTTAGTGTTTCTTAATATTTTCTTAGATTATCCAAGACTTTTCTAAGCCTAATTCAAGTCTAAATCAAGTGTCAAACATGTATCGAATGCATGCCTAGAAGCATCCTAGGTGATAAGGCTTGAAAAATGTCGAAGTGTGCCGAAAATGTACGTTGAAGAGCCTTAAGCATTCTACAACAATTTCATATGCTATGCATTGAAAAATATTATGTTTAGATGTTTAAGGTTTAAGGAGACAAGAAATGAAAGAAAACTTAGTTAGGAGAGGAATTAGCATGAAATGGTTAGGAAGAAAGTGAGTATCCTTCACTAATTTAAACATATCTTTTTGTATATTTAGAATTCGGGATATGCGACTACCACCATTGGAAACTAGATTTCTGGGGCTTGAATTTAGACTCAAGAATCGCTTAAAACTGAGTTCGAATGAGAGATATATGCTCATTTGAAGTTGCAAGGTGTGACATGAAAGTGGGCTGAAATAGGGTTGGCCGCATGTGTGGTGGCTTAGCCGCTCGAGCGGGCAGATTGGATTCTGTATGCTCACGTGCCCGATGGTGGCTATTCAAGCGCCCGACTAGCAGAATTCAAGTCTAGTGAATGTTCTTGGTGTCCTTGGTGTTCCAACTACATTTTTTTTCACCTGAAAGCCTCAAAACATGTTGTATGATGTACTAAAACATGAAAACATGATGCAAAGTTCATGAAAACTCATTTAAATGCATGAATTCAAAGTTAAACTAATCAAAAACAAAGTTCAATTCAAGAATCCCTCAACTTAGTTTCTTTTCAAAACCCTTTCTTTCTTTCCCTCATTTCAATCCCTCAAAACAAGATTTTGAGACTTCAAAGTATAAACAAATGATGTGGGTTTTGTAGGAAAACATTCATATGTAATCAATCCAAAGTAAAAACAAGCCAAAACATGATTTTTTTACCAATTCTTCAAACCCTTTCTATTTCCCAAACTCTTTCCTATCCTCTTCAATTTCAATCTCTCAAAACTTAGTTTAGATGATTTTCTAACTAGATTATAGCAATAATACAATAAAAGGGTGAAATTCCTTACCTATTGATAAATTTTCCGTAAATTTGAAACTTGAATTTGTTGTTCCTTCAACCCTCTTTCTTCTCTTCTTTCTTCCCTTCTTTAGTCTCTCTCTCTCTCTCTCTCTGTCTCTCTCAAGTCAAGTTAAATGAATCTCACTTAATTTTCGTTAATCTCAATTAATTTTTTGACGAAGTGTCTAAAATATTATAATCATTAAATTAAAGCTATTAAGCTCCTCAATTAAGGTTTCTAAGGTGTCTAAATGTTTAAATTTCAAGTTCGAAGTTATTCCCTAAATCAATATTATTCATTAAAATTTTGTACAAAGGCTTTCCTTAAAATTGTTCTAATTTTCCCATGTCTCATAATTTTAACACATATTTTTCTTAAATTCCTTATCATTTGTATTCATTTTCTAAGATTCCATCTTAATAATTCATATTTCTATCTCATAGAATATCACAAGGTAATTAAATTAAGGTAAATATTCGATCATGTTATGTAAAAATGCTTTCGGTGTGGTATATATTTGTTTTCTGAGTTTAAAAAGGTGATTACTTCCTAACTCTTAACAGTCGATAAGGGAAATTCATTAGTTCAAAGCTTCTTAACTACTCATTTTTAATCTTTACTTTAACTATTTTGTGTAATGAGATAGCTAATTTGACTCAGGGTATTCAAGGATAGATAGCAATATAGTTTTAGAACTGACATTCTTTGGGGTGTCACATTTACTCTTTGTTTGGTTTGGAAAATTTAAGATGGAAAAGGCACAGCTCAGAGAGAAAAGAGAACTATGAAGATAGAACTAGTTTAAAATAATTTTAGCAATAAGTGGATGATGAACATTGGCTAGGTCTTGCCATTTCCGTACCCGTATCCTATTTTTTTTAGGTCCGCACCCGCACCCGTGCTTCATAGTCCATTAAAGGATCCTAGCCCAAAATGCTTAGGCGTTCAGTTTAAAAAAACTCTCGAAATCTCTTTTCCCAAATTTGTTTCCACTAAGATGGAGAAACAGCTTCCTAACTGTTATGAATACATAGTAGCTTTTGATGCCACCAGCAAAAAAAATAAAATAAACTTATAATGAAGATGGAACCACAAAAATATCCCCAGTTGTCTCTTAACACAAACATTTTATATAAGGAGAGGGAATGATGAACCCAAAATATAACACAACACAGATCTTAGAACCCAAACAGTGCAACCAAAAAGATTTTAAAAAGTTCAAAACACACTCCAGATCTAAATCAAAATTCAAAACACAACCCCAATCGAAATTCGAAACATAACCCTCATTTTGTTTTCGAAAAAAATAAGAAATTACATACGAGGGTACTAGTTAGAGGCCAGTTCTCATCTGTCAAAAACTTGTTGGAGCAAACAGATCCTTTCCTCGTCCTTTGGGGTGGCGTTCTCTGTTCACAGAGTGGACCTAACAAGTGTAGGAATGGCGATGTCGTTAACAACGGAGAAGGATCGTTCAAATTTTAGAAATGTTGGATCAAGAGATTGTTTGATTTGCATAGTTTTACCTCTTTACCTCTGGATCTTGGTGGAATGGAGTTTGAGTCCACAACTTATGGCTTTTCTAGTGGCTTCCATTGCACTTGTGGGTAGGTATGGTTGTGAGAGAGCAGGGGGATGGGGTATCGGTGTTGTTGTGTTTTGAAAATAGATGACTGGAATGCATCTTTAAAGCCATAAAACTGACCAGTGCTATGATATTGCCAAGTTGTGAGATCAATCATTTGCTTTGGCTGCTCTCTACATATTCTTTTAATCTTACAGATTACTGTATTGGAAAAGCATGACAATTTTGTCATGTAGGACCATAGAATATCTGTTGACAAGTATTAGCCTTTATGTGCTGCAGCTATGAGCTTTTGGGTGTTTCCTTGAAGCAATTTCTACACATAAAAATTCGTAATACAGAATGCAGCCTCAGTTATATGTTAATCCACAATTATGTTTTCTTGTATGTAATTAGTTTTTTTTGTTGTTGCAGATGTCTTTGCATCTAGGTAATCTATCATCTCGTGCTCATAGAGATAAACTTGAGCGTGTTTTTCGGAGGTTTGGCTTGTGTAATGTACAGCTGAAAGATGGTTTTGGGTTTGTAGTTTATGACTTCCCTACAAATGCGGAGAAAGCTTTGAGAGCACTTCGTGGCAAAAATATCTGTGGGGAGCCAATTACTCTTTCATGGTCGAATAGACAGCCTAGACCACTGCAGAGATTTTCAAGAGGTAACAGGTCTTATGAGACACAACCTGGAAGAAAGTCTGCCAGAGGAGAAAATTATGGTAATCGAGAATTGGGTTCAAAAGGTCGACAAGATTACAAAATTGGTTTTAAGCATCCAGTTAATGATGGTGCAAGGCTTAATTCTGCTGACATGGTTGATGAAGTGACAAGCAACCATCAAAACCATATCAAAGAATACAAAGGAGAGAAACACCATAACTTGAGGGAAGATTTGCATGATGAAGGCGATAATGTTCAAAGAAACCTCATGGACAATGACAGATGGGGAGAGAGAGTTGGTGTCCCATCAAATGAAATTGAGGTTGAAGGTGGACTGGAATTTGACCGCTATGAACCTTATGATGATGACGATGATGATAGGAGGGATGAGGATGGAGACCAGCAGGTGACACATTCAGGTAGTTCACCAACTTTGAGAAAATCTCAAGATAAAATAGGGAGAGAGCAAATGGGTAAGGGAGCTTTAAGTCATCTTGATGATCTAAAATCTCACCAGACTTGCTATATTTGTGGGGAATTGGGTCACAAAATGCGTAGATGCCCCCAAGAAAATGTGTCACGGAGAAAGAAGTTTAGTAGGTTTGATCGTAGGTGTGACAACGACATGAATTTTAGAGAAAAAGTTGAAGGTGATGTGAAAAGGCTTGGATCCAAGCCCCAGCGGAGGCTGGTTATAAGTAGAGATGCTGTATTGATGAGGCGACACGAGAGTAATGGGAAGACATCTAGATTAAGAAAGCATCGGAGGTTGATAAGGAGTGGTAATTCTCAAGTGAAAGAAGAAACTTGTAGAGGAGCATGGAGAAAGGACTATGTGGAGAAGAAACATAGTAGGAGAGAGAATGGGACTCCAGAAAGACGTTATGCAAAGAAAGCAAGGGGTTCAGTGTCATCTCCTGTTCATTCTGAGTATACTGCATCTAGATCACTGTTGCTTTCAAAACCTTCAACGTTTGTATCTGGGTCTGGTTCGCATTCGAGATCGAGATCAATATCTTCTAGAACATGTTCATCTTCTAGGTCAAGGTCTGGATCAACATCACAATATTCTGGGTCTGGAAGTTATAAGTCCAGGGCAAGGTCAAGGTCCAGCTCTCCTACATCATTGTCTGTATCTGTATCCCTAGGTCGGCCTTTACCATCTTCTCCGAATAAGATACATATGAATCAGAAGTGCTCTTTGGTAGATGCCACTTGTCCTGAATCAAAGGAGATTTGGGTTGAGCAGGCACAACTGGTAGAAGGGGATGCTGGATCGGACAATTCTAAACTTGAAACTATGAAAGTTGCAGTGGAAAATAATAATGCAATAGCACCCTTCAAAGTGGAAGAGCAAACAGAGAAGGATAATGATGAGGATAACAACCGTGCTATTTCCAAGGGTTCATCTGAAGTAAAAAATTCTTGTATCCCACTGTTAGGGAAATGTGATGTGACTGTTGAGAGTCTGTCACCACAGAGTTTGGGAGAGATGAGTAACATTCACAATTCTGATGTGCTTGTCACAGAACAGGTGTTGGTACCAACCAAGAGGTCAGATTCTGAAGCCCTCATGATAGAACATTTGTCTGCACCAATGGAGAAGCCAGATCCTGAAGCCTCTGTAAAATCCAGCACTTCAATTCCCACAAGCATCTCTTCAGAGGAGTGGTACATGGTTCTGAAACACTATGGCCTGGATCACCCAGTGGAAAACGAAAAGGATTTACCTGTAGAGGCTTACTTTGGTACTGCTCGCTTGTGGCCTTGGGAGATCATATATTATAGGAGGCTTAGGAAGGGCCCTATTTCTACAGAAAATTATTCTCGGAGGATTGCTCAGAATCAACAGTTTGGTATTATTGATAAATATATAAGAAGTAGTAGTGGATGGGGAGAGTTGGGCCAAGAAAACTTATGAACAGCAACTGTTGACCTGGCAACTTAACTGCTTTTTCTGTAGAACCTCATTGTGGATCCATTTTGCCAGACTACTAGTGTAGTTTGCTGTTTACATGCAAATTTTCTCCAGAGTTTCTCGGGGTAAAACTTTGAACAGGTAAACTTTCAGAATAGTTTTGATTTGGTCAGTCCTATGTCAAATTGTTTAAATCCATTTTAATACTTCTTCTTAAGAATGTGTAGAATGTTATTGGAAAGGATATTTTATGCTAGGTATTAAGTGTGTGTTGTTATTTTAGGAGATATTACTGATTTAGTTTCTTTCTGTAGTGCGAAAAAGTAATACTTTCTAGTTTCTATTCATGCCAAGGAGTTTACTTTGCAGATGTTACTTTCTTAAACCCGTTGAAGCTTTATGAACTCTCATTTACATCTGAATGTGACTATTATTATTGTTTTTTTAATGTGAACACTTGTGCAACATCTGATAACTCAAATATCATTCCATAGGCAAGAAGCATAAACACTTCAAAATCGGTGCTGTGTCTTACATTATATGGGACTTTGACACGCTAAATGGCATGTCAATATTTTTAGTTTTTATTTTATAGGACAAATTGAGAGACACTTAATGGACTTGTATGTCCTGTGTTTGAACACGTCTCAGGATGCCTTTATGTTTTTCTTTTTTAATATGGTTTTGGAAAGCTGATTTGGGGTCAAGTAAAATATACGGAAACAAAGAGGGTGGAAGTGGAAAAAACTAAAAATGTACAGACACATACATTGATATCGCTTATACCATCGTGTCCCAAATTTATATTCATATACCTAACAAATAAAAAAAAAAAAATATTTTTATATCCCCACCATGTCCATGTCCTAATTTTTTAAAATCCAGTGTCTATAATCTTGTCCATGCTTCTTACCAAGGATGCTTTTATGTGGGTGGGGCTTCAGTGGGTGAAACTAAGGATGATCCGGGTGTTCCTTTTCTTCATGGGTTGGACATTGATAGTTATAGTTCATCAATTTTGGATCTAATTCCTTTGTCGATGCTCCCTCGTACAATGTGGACAATGGGGATGCCATCAATAAAAAACCTATGGTTTACTTCTCATTAGATTTTGACGCTAATGGAGTATTTAGTCTCAAGAAGGTTGATAGACAAAAAGACAATCTTGAGGAGTTTATGTTAATCATAAAAATGATAATGGTGATTCCTTTAGTCATGATCTGATTGAATACAAAGGTGATTTAGTTTGGGTGATGTTAGAATTGTGAAGTAAATATATATGTTATTGTTATTTTGTAATACATGGTTATTTTGTACTGAGAATTTACTATGCTTCTTTTTTATACAAAAAAAACAATTTAAGTGATTATGCAATGTAAAAATTTAATAAATACATTGCAACCACACAACCAAAAATTTTCATAGAATATATTAATAAATAAAATACTGTAACGCGTACCTAGGCACTCCCCAACCTTACTCTTTTGTGTGTCTCGCCCCCCGTCACGGTCCTTTCTTCTCGCTCCACCTAAAATGCACACTTTTAAGAAGGTAACATGTCGTGTCTGACACTAAGATTGACAGTGACATTGACATTGACACGACACTAATCAGACATTTCCCAACAATTAGATACACATGAAACATACTACAAGTTTGAATAAAATAATTTAGAATCCAGTTTATACTTGTTCTCTTCATTTATATCTTAAAAATTATATCTTTGACTTAAATATTTATATATATAATACATGACATGCAATAATGATTTATTTTTATATATGAAATAATAAATATATAAAATTATATATTTTGCATGTGTCCCTCATATTTCATGTCCTATATTTTTTTGAAAATTTTTGTGTCGGCATATTCTTGTTGACCTGTCTGTGCTTTTTAGTGAAACACTAGTGGTATAAGGAAATTATAGTGTTTCTATCAAAATACATTAGAACATGTCTAATAAATATATCAAAACAAGTTGCCGACACAAATTTAGAATTTTTCATAAATTGTTTTACAATTTATTTTTAGAAATAATGTGAAAGGTTGTGTTTTACTATATCACTATTGTTACTAATATCAAATTAAATTTTTAGGCCTTATTTTGTTGGGATTTTACTTAGAATTTTTTATACTTGAGTTTGATAAAATTGAGTTACTTGACAGTATTTGGCTCATAGAAAATTTTATTTTATGCCACAATAGTTATTTTATGGAAATGACTATATAAATCTCAATATGTTTAATTAACCAATTATTAGGCTTCTATACATTTAGACAGATTTTGAATTGTGCTCCAATTTTTTTTTTTAAATATATTTTCAAATTCTTTTGTTGCTTTTGGAATATTTTTGAAATGCTTCTGAATTGTTTCCAAAATGTTTTTGCCTCCTTGCCAATTGAAACAACACGTCGAAATGAAATTTTGATCCTTGCCTTCCACTCCTACCAGCTATTTCCCTCACACTTCACGCAACCAATTTTTGTGACTGATGAACTAAAGCTGCCTCTATGAGCATGAAAATCGTTGCCATGACACGCCACTGTCTTCTCGGTGAAGCCATTTCCATCTGGTCTGATAATGTACTGACAATGACCTCCGATTGACCACCGAGGTCCAATGACATATCGGGGAAAATCTTGTTTTTGAAAAGATAGAAAGCTCCTCAAACTTCTCTGGATAACTGGATGAGGTCTTCCATTGATCTGGGGACAACATCATCTCAAGTTCCCCAGATTTTCTAGGGTTTCTGATGACAGTATGTCTTCATCTAGCCCCCCGTCCTCTCTCTCTCTCTCTCTCTTCATGGGAAGATTGGGGAGGCAACTATTCTTATACTTGTTCACACCTTGTAGTTGAGCTGAGGTGAGCCAATTTCTCTACTGTTATTTATTCTGTCAGTAGCACAGGAGCTGTTTGGAATTTAGCAGAGTCAGATATTTGTGTCAGGGTTTAGTTTTATGTGCAAATGAAACACTTCCACAATTAAACTGTGTTGTGTGATAAAGCTTACATGAAGTCCAGGGATGTTGGTCCTTGAAAGTTGAAACTGTGTCAAATCTTGTTGTAGATGAAATAAAGAATTATACTTTCTGGCCTTCAGGTTCATTTTGGGGAGTCTTTATAAGATATCCCACACAAAACTTTGAAACTTTTGTAATGGATATTCTGTTCTTTCTTTCAAACATGAAGCAAAACTTTTGAAGTTTATTAATGAACAGAAAGCCTTAAATGAATATGATCTTGGCATGTTACGGACTTCACTAGAAATGTCATATTTGATGTGAATAAATGTGAAGATGCTTGCTCAACTGTTTGGTCAAGGTGCAGAGGGTGTATGATCCAATCACTATAGTACCAAGTGAGGAACTCTGCCATTGTATTTTTACTACAAAAGCTCTTTTATTCATTTTTTTTCTTCTGATAATTGCAATAGCACTTTTGTTTGTATGGGACCTTTGATCTTGCATGTTGTAATCCATCTATGAACTTGAAAAGATATTAAGATTTTGACAGTCAGTGTCAAATACCTGAAGAAGATTGTTCTGTTTAGCTCCACTTAAACTAGATATGACCAGGGTGTATGGATGGCTGGTTGGCTTAGAAAGTACAAGAATAATTTACACAACTAACTCCAATAAGCCATTTTAACCATGACAAGGAGTTATATTTTTTGATTCTTATTTTTAAAAGAATAATAAAGAGACATTGAATGGATAGAGTAAAGTTTAATGCTTGCAATATTGGAGTATTGCATTGTTTAGATGAGAAACGTGACAGCTAGCAGCTCATGATTAGGATGAATAGGCCTTAAGATTATGAAGAGTTTTTGTCACGACCCTCAACCCGCCCCTAGAGGTTAGAGTGATGATTGACCAGTAATCATAGATTACCTACAGTCTCAAAGAAAAAATTTCAAAATATTTGTAATAATTTATGTATTTATTGATTGATTGATGTATTACAAGATAGATAAATTACAATTCCTATACAATCTATATATAGAAGAAAATGTGGTAGTAGGTGTAGTGGAGGTGATAGTGGGTTAGGTGAAGTGGAGTGTGTGGTGAAGTGGAGGTAGGTGAAGTGGAGTGTGTAGTGGAGTAGGTGAAGGTAAAGATGGGAAATTCTAACAGCCCCCCGCAAACTCAAGGAGGAGAGAAACTAACCAACTTGAGTTTGGAGAGAGTAACAAAACAAGAAAATACATAAAAATAAAAAAGGATAGGAGACACTGTATGGTCGTGTCAGACCGTTGGGGAAGACACTGTATGGGGTGTCATAACGTTGTAGAGAACACTGTATGGTGGTGTCAGACCGATGTAGAAGACAGTTTATGGGGTCATGTCGGACCGTGGTAGAAGACAGTTTATGGGGTCATGGCGGACCGTTTTTTTTTTTTTTTTTTTTTTTGTGACGAATGTAGTTCACCGATTGTGATGGCATTATACCATCGTTAAAAAACTAAAAAATTTTAGCGACACTTCAAGTTCAGCTGCTAAAGGTCAAATTGAAGAAATTTTTTTCTCATTTTATTGATTTTTCAACCGGCGCAAAATATTATTTTAAAAAATGTGAAACCACTATATAAAAGTACCTATATAATACTTCCTGTGATAAAATGCATTCTGTGGGGGCCGAATACATGGGAAAAATCAGGTGGTGCGTACCATTGGAAGGCTGATATTAATCGGCTATATCCTACGAGAGTGGGGAGCCGAATATAATATATGTGCCGAATAAGTGTAAGTCCTTAGGGCCGAATAAAAGAAAGGACAATGATTAAAAAGTAGGCCCTGGCCCCGAGGATCAAGAAGAATAGGTATAAATACAGGAACAACGGTTATAGAAAGGTATGTAAGAATCACTTCACAAAGATTTAGAAAGTAAGCTATCCTGAGTGTCTGAACTAACTTGTCCGTCGGAGTGCTAATTTCGGTACCCCCGACTGGAGTGCTTGTATCTTTTCAGGTGACTAGCTGAGGATCACTAGCGTCTCCCAGGATCCGAAGAGTATTTCCAAACCACTTCCCTACAATTGGTGCCGTCTGTGGGAATACTCAAATACATCCATGGCAGGCGTGACTGAAGATCCTTCGGTAGCCATTGACGAGATCGCACAGGGAGATGACCTCACTCCAGCAAATATGCTCGGAAAAGAAACCATCGCTGCAAGACGCGCCTTGAACTTCGACTCACCAACGACTTCAGCGCAAGAGACAATGCAAGCGATCATCGAACAAGCAAAGCAGAATGAACAAAGGCTGGAGAACATGATCGCTGAAAACGAACGTCTCCGTCAAGATTTGGCCCTCGAAGTCGCAAAATCGAGAGAAG